CTCTCTGAATGGGACGAGATGGCCAAGAAAGTTGCTGCTCAACAGGCGTATCTGCGCCAAGTTCTTCAGGCAGTTAAAGGCAACCTGCGCAAGAACTCGGGGACGGGCCCTTCGGCATCCCGTAGTTCGAAAAAGGGGGAGAAGTCCGCTGCTGCTGCTAACAAGGGTACTGGTGATGATTCTGACTCTGATGGGGATTCAATTGATAATGCTATCGACAAGTTCACTGCTGGGGAGTAAATGTTTTTCTTCTGAGTGTTTTGAGGGATGTAGGGAGGTCTTTTTGTATAAGAACCTCATATTTTATTTGCTTGTGTGATATTTGCTACTTACCTCTATTTTGCTGGATGGATGTTTGTGCTTTTGATGAATGAATGATGATTTTGTCTTAGTTGTTCTTAATTGATTCTTGCTCGATTTTTGAGGTTTGTTGAATTGCAGGTACTGAGGGGGAGAACAGTCACATGCTTATTTGCCCTAACTCTTGATGATTGTTTAGTGGCTAGTTCTTCTGTGCTTGTTTATATTTTAATTCTTTTCAGGAGATATTTTAATGGTTGATGTTTTCGAACTAGATGCCAAAGGGGGAGATTGAAAGATATTTATTTTGGCATTAGTTCGAAGGTTCTAACAAGCACCTGGAACTACAGAAACAGGGAAGATCTTTACTTATTTGTTTCCTTAATTACGATTATTTTCTATTCCATAAATAAGATATTCTGGATCTTATTATGGTACTTTGATTTGTAGGAAATCGGATGAGATAATGAAGGAAGAGGCGTGTATGACAAAGAGATCAAGGAGAGAGAGAAGAAGATTCACTTACCATATTCTTATGCTATAAACAAGGAAGGAAATCAAGGTTGGAGTCCTATGCCTTGTAGAAGACTCCAACCCTAAGGAGATTCTTTTAAATACCCGTATGCAAACTCTCATTGCGGCTGCTGAGTTTTGAAGATTTATAGAGCAATAATTGAGCTTCGTGTATTCTGATTTTATTGAGTTGTACACAGTTCAGTTTGAGAGTTCGAACTAACTCAAGGACTGAAGCTGTTTTATTTTGTTCTTTGTGTTTCATCCAAAAACTATTTTACAGCTTATACACTTAGGAAGTAAGTGTAGGTTTTTAAAAGTCCACGGGACGTGGCCGGAGAATTAGTTGATAGGATCTGTGTAGTGTTGGCTAGGCTTGAAGGGAGTTCGAGTCGTTGTAAGTCCAAGCTATGTGTATGGTTGATCTATCAATGAAAGAGCTCTGAGGGGAAGTGGGACGCTTCCCTGAAGAGTTTTAAAATCTTCGGTCTATTGCTTCTGCTTTTTACGTTGTTTATCCACGTTCGTACTACATTTCGCGCACTCGCAAGTAATTATACGTTTCAGTTTTTGTTTTCAGCAGTGCATATATCAGAAATTCTATGGCACCACGTGTGGCGCCATATTATGGTGCCACATGTGGTGCCATAGAATTTCTGGTGCATATATAGCTCGTGCAATACACGGGGTGCACAATTTCAAAGCTATTTATCCACGCTTATTATTATATACCTAAATAAAGAAAAATAATAGTACGTGACATGTACGATGCACAGAATATATTTATTTGGGGAATAGTATATTATAAGATGGAATTTTAAATAAAAGTTTTATAATACGTATAAAATTTGTACAATAAAATAATATTCGAAAATAAAAAATTAATTTGTTTAAAAACATAGATAATGTAAATATCTAAATATTTACACGATCTTTATAAGAAATAAGGCAAATTATAAATTTAAAATGATATGTTTTTTTATTTCGAAAAAAAAAATAAGTAAAAATAATTTGGCTTACGGTTTTATCATGCATAACCAACTCGAGATAGGATTTGTATGTAACTTTAAGCATATGTCTATTAGACCTATTAACTTATTTGATTAAGCCAAATTCCTTGATTCATTGTTTTGAATGAAAGACTAATTGAGAAAATTATTTTTTCTGCAGAAGGTAAAAGTGAAGAAGACGTTGGCTCAATATTTTTAGATATATAATTATAATTGCTAGAGTAGATACAATATATGTTGAGATTTTTAAGAAAAAATCTTGATTTATGGAATGTTGATATCTGAGTTAGCCGAGAAAGAACCGGATAGGGTCGACGTCCCAGGACCCGGGCTGGGGACCCGGTTCAGCATAGAGGTGCCGACGTTGAATTGCGAAATTAGGTGATCAAGGCAACCGTAAGAACAATTCGCGAGATCGACACGTGGTGTCAGAAGATTGAGGTGCCAACCTCGCCAGGTACCGGGATGAAAAAGGAATCCTGAGGACCTAAGGAGCATATTTGGTAGAAGTGCCGACCTGAGGATTCTGAGCGGTCACCTTTGAGGCGAGTGCGGGTCTCGGTAACATTAAAATATTCCCACTTGGAAGATCATCATTGGGTGATGTGACGGGATGTCATAGCCAGCTACTCTACACCAAAGCCTAGTTGAAAAGCCTGCCAGCATTAAATGCCCCCCATGCTTGCATTAAATGTCTGACAGACAATGATTGCCTCAAATCGCATTAAATAACTGTCAAGGAGGCGCTGAACTACTCTGCAAAACTACTGTGCGACAAGACTGGTGAACAGTACTTAAATAGTACCTCATTTAAGGATAATATAAATAGCAACCCACTTCATTTATTTTGGATTGTTAAATCTTCAACTACTCTGCATTATCTCTACTTTCTCTCTCTAGAAATCTATAATTAATTATTCGTTGTGAGTGACGACCTCGTATGAAAGTGCCGACTTCACAATTTCGTAATAAAACATAATTATCCCGTATTTTCTCTCTATTTCCAGTCCTGTACTTTCAGAAAACTTTATTTTAATCGTTGATCGGATCCGTCCATTAACAGACCCAACTTGGATATCAACAATATAATTCAAAATCTCACTAATAACTAACCATATCACATATTTCAACTTAATCACAATCAACAAAAAAATACTACCTCATATCATTTTTAAATGTCATTTCGACTTTATTAAACATTAACTAAAATAAAATGGTGTTTTGTACATATTTTTCTCATTATTACCATCATTTATAACTAAAAAAACACACTATTACGGACCTCTTGGATAAAGAATGGAAGATTGAGGTTCGGCATATCCATCGTGAAGAATTTTGCAGCGGATTATCTTGCATCTCTAGCATCGACCTTGTCGGGCGGCCTTCATATATTTGAGGACCCTCCCATGGGGGTGAAACCGTGGCTTGAACATGATGTTCTAGGGATTGCTCGCCCTCGTAATATCGTAGTTTAAGGCTCTCGCCTCCTTCTTTGTACCAAAAAAAAAAACACTACGCTTTTTCACAATTTTTTCTTAAAGAGAGTTATTATTGAAAAAATAATACTAATTATTGTATAATTTTTAAAAAATGACACGTATTATGAACAGAAAAGAGTATTTTTTTTATATTTGTATCAAAGCACGCATTAACATTCACCAAGCTAGGGGATGCTTGTTTATAAATTGGATCCAAAAAATTCAATCATTTTGAACTCCTATTTTTTTTTTAACTCAACCCACTATCATCAATATAATTAAATAACATCAATCAATCAATTCATTATCATCAATATTATCAATATAATTAAATAATATCAATCAATCATTTCTACACACAACAACAACCTTAATTTACTATTCATCTACTCACATAATTTTAACTAACCATCACATCACATCTTTTCTCTCATACTTTTATATTAATTTAATTTTAATCATTTTATTTTAAAAATTATTTTAATATATCCACTAACAATTAACTATACAAACTTTTCAAATTTAACCAACTCAAACAAAAAACTCAATCAAAACACAAAAAAAAAAAATTATAAACAAGCATGCTCTAAATACTTGATAGGTTTACATGTCTTCCCATTTTATTCAGCCATTAGTTGTTTTTTCTTCTCCCGTTGGGAGCTTTATATTTTTATTCGCAGGAACTTTATATTTTTATTCGCACACTTGTGCGTTTGGTTTTTTAACAGATCCTCCAAA